ACATGGGCTCACGTCGGAGCCTGGGCTGAAACGAGGGCCCCCGATGGCTCTGTCCCTTGAGAAAGTCTCTCGTCTCTCTCAACGTCAGGTCCGTCAACTGTGAGTGGGGAAAGTGAAAGGCCATGCCACCTTCCCAGGCTCTTGGGACACTTAGAAATCCGTGTAAAAAGGGCACTGGGACGCGCAGTCAGAACCAGCACCGCCGCCGCTGCTTCCGCTACCACCGCGCCCAGCGCTGGTCCTGCTGCCGCCGGACGCCGGCTTCCCGACATCCGGACCCCCCCCGGGCAGCTCCCCTCGTCCCCCGACACAGAGCGGGGAGAGAACGAAGGCCAAGTCTCCCCGCTTCCCCTAAACCCTCCCCTCCTCTCGGAGAAAGCCCCGCCCCTCCCCACCCCCAGGATGCCCAGGGCAGGATGCGGACGCCGGTGACGGCGGCGAGGACAGCCGAGCGGACCTGACGACGAACGCGCTCACACCACGCGGGGACTTGGGTCGGCGGCGAACCTCGCAGCTGCCGGCCTTCCCGCTGTCTCCCCAGCTCTGCGTTTATCTGCTGATGGTATCACGGCCGTCAGGCCCACACGTGGACAGATACTGTCGGGTCTGTCTCACCGGAAATGGACTCAGATGACTGAGGAGATGAGGCCGGCTCAGCGTCCAGTCTTGGTCACATTCCTGGGAAGGGGCGGGGAGCCCAGGTCTCCGCCCCGGCCTTTCCCGCCCGCAGGCCGCGCTCTCCCTGTTGGAGGAGCGGTGGGAATTCAGGCCAACGGAAGACGCTTAGAGAAGCCCGCCTCTTCCCTGTGTGTCCACGAGGCCTGAGGGATGACCTTCAGGCCAGGGGTGCCCACGCCCACCCATAAAAGAAATACCAGGGGACCCAGTGCCACCCCATCCAAGGCCTCCGCGTGTCCCCGGACACACACGCCTTTCCCGAGAGCGGCCAGCATGGCAGTCCCAGCCGTGTGTTTGAAGACATCCTCATGACAGGTTGGTCTTCCCTTCTCTCCCAGACCAGCAGCGATGCCCTGGGATTATTTCAGAAATAAACTGCCCGTTTGTTCATTGTAGACTTGGGGGCTCCTGGGGCAAGAACACTCCACCGTTCCCAGGTAGACCTCACACCACAGGCCGGGCAAGCCGTCTGAGGCAGCGTCACACCTGAGGCAGCGGGACCGTGTGAACGAGCCATGCACGCCGAGCGCCCCGGGGCCAGGAGTGGTCACTATTGACGAAAGCAGAAGCTCTGAGTCGGCAGCACTCCCTCGGAGCCTGGCTCCGGCTGCCACGTGCTGTCTGTGGTCCTGGGCGCTTGCTCCCCGCCACGTGTCCCATGTTTCCCCGTCTGCACGTGGAGAGCCCTGAGTGTCCCTGTCCCAGACGAGCCTGCAGGTGCCAGTGAACGAGCCCAGCGCAGCGCACATCCTCGGTGTCCAGAATGTGGCCCTTACGATGACTTCACATTATCCTCAGACCGATGCCAGCCAGGAAGAGTCACACAGACTTTGCAGGAAGGAGGCCCGGAGAAACGAGGGCTCAGGCATCGCTGAAGAAGCACAGTCGGTCCGTGATAGGCGCCCAGTCTTTCATGGCTCCCACTTGTCTCTTGTAAAAAAGCACGTTTCATATCTAAGAAAACAGCACATTTAAAAAGGATGTTCTGCAGGAGACCTGTGACAGGGGAAGCCTCACTTTTTAGCCACAATTTGTTTTCCAATATTATCATTTCATGATCATCTAATTAAGCAGACCGGTTCATTACAAGCCACACTAAGGTGCTAATTTGATCCCCACCAGTGACTTTTTTCCCCAAGCTTGTTTACCTGGGAAGCCATGTGTAACTAAAGGAAATCCCCGCAGGTGAGCAGGAGGGGATGGGGCGTGTCTTCTGCCTAATATTTCTCCAAACCGGAGTCCAGAATCTCCAGGCCCCAGAGGTTTAATTACCATGTGCAGCCTGCTGTTTCGGGGTGGGGGTGGGCATTGGGGACCCTCCCGCCCTCTCTGAGGCAGGGGCCAGCGGTGGGGTCCACTGACGGCACAGGGACAAAGAGGGACCAGTGCATCTGGCCAGGGGTCTGCATTCAATTTGGAACTTGAAATGGAACGTTCACCTTTTCCAGCAAATTCTGTATGTTCGAAGGATCTAACGTTCCCTCCAGCCCTCCTGGCCAAGGAGGAAGAGGACTCACAGGGCTTGCTTTGTCACAGAGTGTGAGCGAGGAGCCCTTTGGAACCTAGCAATTGGTTTTTGTTTGATGACCAGCTCCTGCCACAAAAGGGGACCCACCCCGTCCCCAGCATTCAATTAACCCTATGTGAGACAGGCAGGGGATTAAGAAGGTTGGCTCAGGCCCCATTCAGAAGGTTCCGAGGGGGGCTTTGTCAGAGGATTCTTCCAAACAAAGGTTGCCAAACTAAGTAGCTTTTTTTTTGTCGCTTAGCTCTGCCCTATTGTTACCACGAAAGCAACCTTTTCCACTTAATTGGGGCTTTAGAATTCCGCCTCCATTGTGTGTGTCTGTAAGTAGCACACTGCCGAGGGGCTGTGTGAGTTTATGAATATAAGCATTTCTGCATCGGGTGATTCCAAGGCCGTTTGTGTATTTGGGTCCCCTGACGTGGGTTACTGTAGAAAAAATCATCATCCTGAGATGCTCAGGGCAACCATCGCTTGTTTCCGTATATCGAGTCCCTGTTACGCGTTAGGCACTGTAATCCACGCTTTGGGTGTTTTGTTTCTAGTGTCACAATTAACTGCGTTACAGGCCAGATCGGGACGGTTCCCGCGGAAGGGAAGCCGAGGCTGGCGGCGAGCACTCAGCCTCCCCACTCCGCTGGGCCCCGAGACATCGTTTATCACACTTTCCATCTCTGCTTATTTATCAGGCCTCCTGCTTTGGATCCCCAGTGAGATGGGCAACCTGGGACAGACCAGGGGTTATGACGGGCATCTGGGTGCACACACGGAGAAAACACAGACGGCCGCGGGGTCAGATGGGAAGCGCTGACGGGCGCACCGGCGCTGGTGCCGTGCAGCGGGGCGCGGTGAGGCCTGAGGAAAATCGGAGATGAAGCTCCCCTCAGAGACACTTCCACTCAAATTCACTTTATTCATCTACTTTCTAATCACTAAGCCAACCCGAGGAAAGAGGTCTGGGTCTGGGCCTGGGGACGGGGCCTCCAGGGGAGACCTCTGCGCTCTGTGGATGGCACCCCGCAGGTGTGGCAAAGTGGGGACCCTCAGACCTCCTCCCACAGCTGGCATGGTGCGGCGCCCGGGGCTCTCAGGGTCGGAAGACTCCAAGTTCAGCTCCCACATCTGGCTCCCCGTGCAGCTCGGGACTGGGGGTCTCCAGTGGTTGGCTTCAGGCAGGGCGGGCGCTCCTGCAGCCCTGGACCTGGGCCGCCTCACCCCTTTGGGCCGGTGGCCTCACCTGTGGCTACCTGACTACGTCACCTCTGTGCCAAAGGGACCAAGGTTCCTGGGGACCAATCTCCTATGTTCAGGTCCAGGGTGACAGGAGCCTTAGTCTCCCGTCACACAAATGGTGCGCACGTGTAATTCCCAAACCGAGGGCACAAAGTCCTTAACTCAGCCAGTCAGGCACTGTGCCACTCAGGGACACCCAAACATCGGTTTTGTAAATGTTATGCCAAAAACAACAACAAAAAACCATCTAGATACAGGGCACCAAAGAAGATCTGCTCACACTCCCCTGTTTGCACAGATGAGCACAGACATCTTGTACCTAAAACATCACACAAAAGGTGAGTAACTGATAAGCCTATTGAGAAACTGAAATAAGAAAACAAAAAAAGTGGTCTGTTTTCGCAGAACGAGTTCAACTATCCAGAAAGGTTCCATCAGGAAAGCCTGGGTGTCCGCTCTGTCAAGGGAATCAGGGCTTTGTCCAGGATGGGAGGGGGTGTCTGTGAACCCCCTGCCCCTTGCTGGGTTCCCTTTAGCGGCCTGGACAGGGTCATTGAGCCTGCGAGGCCCACGTGGGTCAGTCAAGTATCCGAACAGTGAGATTGGATCTGGGCGTCCTACACCACCGTCGGGAGTGGGATGTTCGTGCTGCAGCTGAAATACTTCAAACGGCTGGGAGTTAGACTGCGAGCAATCTCACCCACCAGTGAAGCAGCCAAGGCCACAGATAAACAGACAAAACCTCTTTGCATCAACTGAAGCAGAAGCTGCCAGGGCCCTGTTACAGACACCGCGTCCCGGGTCTCCCTAGACGGCTCCAGGCCCGCACTGCGATCCAGCGTGCCCCTTGTGCACACGTTGTAACCAGCTTCATCGTGCACATCCCTAGTTCTCTCCAGGTCAGAAGAAAGACGACACACTGAGAAACCTTGCTCTTATTATAAGGAAATGCACCAAGGGAGGAAGAAGCAAGCACTGACAGTTGACTGGGGAAAAAAACAAATGATGAAATGTTGAGAACTACCTGAAACGAACATGAAAATTCAAGAGACATGGTGGCTTAAGGCTACTTAAAGGAGCAGAAAACCTCCCTGCAGAGCCCTGAAGAGACCACTGCACTCCATCACAGTGTGTGGTGTTTGCTCTTCTTAAGGAGAAAGAAAATGATAGAATTAATTTTAAATAATTTCTATATAAAATGGTCAAAATTGAAAAATAAATAAACACTCAGCTCTCTGGGGAACTCAATTCCCATCCTGATCTGCTATTTCCCAACAGTCTTGGATGCCTGACACTTATCTCGTTTGGCCATTAAATCTCCTTTTATTATAAAACTATAAAAACTGTGTAAGAGCAGGCGTGGATGGAGGCCGGCTTTCCACCTCTCACAGCCTTGGACCAGACCTCAGAGATGCAGCCTCTGAGGTCCCTTCCCAGTGTCCATCCTGTCCCGGTGATAAGAATGAACTCAACTGGCATCCACTGTCAGCTTTGGCCCCTCTATTTGGGGAGGCTGCTGAAGAGGAGAGATGGCAGGCCTCCTGTCTAAGACCGTTTAGAGCAGGAGGGCAGGGGATCCGAAATGACAACACAGGTGTCATTCTGCAGAGGAGGGCCGGTGGCCCCAGCTCTGCTGGCAGGGCACCCCCACTGCACGTGGGCACCACTGTGAGCTGCTCTCCATGGGGATGCCCTGCGCCAGGGAGCCCGGGGCCCCTTCAGGTGTGAAGGGACAGAACTCCTCTGTACAAGACAACAGAGAGCATGCACGAGGAAGCACAGTGTGAAGACGGGCTGTCTGAGGGAGCGCTGGAGTATCTGCATCTGAACTTCTTGCTCTTTCTCACCTTCCCTTCTGAACAAAGTAGAAAACTGGGGGAAACAGACAAGGTGTCAAGTTTCCGTGTGTTAAAACCTCAGTGATGACCCTCCGTTCCCACTCTCCCTGAACACACCAACATCCCCAGCCCGTCCCCATCCAGCCCGTCAGGAGTCCCCTGGACTCCAAAAGGCATCGCCCCCGCCACCTCTCCCCCAAGTCCAGGGCCTGTCATTTCCTGCCAGGTCCTCCTCAATAACCTTCTAAGCCATACCCCCACCGCCATCCCTGCCCCCCAAATTCATCCTTCCCCACAAGCCAGTGGGATTTCTCAAAACACCAATCAGTGTCACAATCCAGTTGTCACAATCCAGTTATAAAGCTTCCCAGCATCACCCGGTACACTCTTCACAAACACAGATTCGAGACTGACCTTGCCTCTCCCTGACCTCTGCCTGGACCACAGCCCCCTCCTTCCCTCGCCTCGGCCATGCTGGCTGGCCTCTCTTGCTCCTCACACGAGCCCTGAACAGTCTACCCCAGGACCTTTGCACTCACTCTCCCCTTGGCATGGGTCCCTCCTGCTCCTGATGCTTCACCTTGTTCCCAGCTCAAACAGGTGCTTACATCCCAAGTTGCCTATCTTGACAACTTAAGTCCAAAATCAGTGTGCCCCAGGCCTCAGCAGAGATTTCTGTTTTAATTCCTGCTTCGTATTCCTCGCTATCTGATAGTGCTCCCTTCCCTTTGTTTCTTTGTCTAACCTTCTGTCCAGCCTCCCCTGCAGAGCATCTGATCTCCCGAGGGCACAGCCGCTCTCCTCTCACAGCTTGTCCTCGGCAGATGCACAATAAATGTCTGCTAAATGAATGAACACAGCGAGGCAGAACACGAACACTCTACTATATATAGAAGATATAACAACAAGGACCTACTGCATAGCACCGGGAGCCATAGTCAGTGTCTTATAACATGATTCTAAAAATATATGTATGTGTATGAATAACTGAGCTATTCTGCTGTACACCTGAAACTAGCATTGTAACTCAACCATGCTTTAATAAAAAATAAAATAAAAAAGGCATAAAAGGCATCTTAGAGAAAAAATGGGGAGGCAGAAGCACCACCTGGAACTTTCACCCCCACACACCATCCTATAAAGAAAAATGTGTGTTTTCAAAATATTCTCCACCCTCACAGAGTTAAGAAGACTTCATTCTGCTGCCCCTTTAGAAATGACCTTCTACCTGCCATGCAGGTCAGGGCCCCGTAGGACTCTCTCTTTAGCACTTCAGGCAGTGCCTACAATAGACGGAAATCCTGCTCAGCTAAGGTGTGCCTCTCTTTATACAGTATCCATCAGTTCTTGCCATCAAAAAAGAGGAAAATGGAACACTTCAGCATCTCTGGTAGATAATTGAGGATACAGACATTAGGTAAGAGAGGGAAGAGAAACAGGACTGAAGCATCTGGAATCTCATCTTTGTCCTGCTGCCAATCTTGGAAAATTACTTCCCTTCTCTGGCCCTTAGCTTCCTCACCTCCAGAAAGAAGGGCCTGATTCTTGGACAAGGCGGAAAGAATTGAGATGAGCCTGTGTGCTCATTGCTGGGAAGGCCATGCTGTCGTCAAAGTATATTTTAAAGAAAATACAAATGATAAAAGAAAATGATTACTGTACAAGTCAAGACTCCAAAATATAAATGTTTCAAATTAGGTAGAAAACTTTTCAATTGTTTGGGGAAAATACTGAATAATGAGAGGTGTTATCTATACGCTAGAGGACCATGCATGGTTCTTATTTTCATCATTCCTCTTTCTTTGTTCTCTAAGTTGTAATCAATACGTGTATAATATTTCCACATCTCCTTTCCCCCCAAAAACTAATAAACCTAAAATGATGGAAGCTAACCAGGTAATCGCTAAGCTCCCTGCTTGTCCGGGCGGCCTGTGCCTGCCAGCTCGGAGCCCGTGTGGCTGTGGATGGCTCTGCGACTGCTTCTTGGGGTTGGGGGTGGGGAGGCCCTTGAAAACACTGCATTCCCTTGACCCCAGGGCTGCATTTAGGAATGGGAGTGGGACCCAAATGAGACCAAACAAAGGATGCTAGGATTTTGCCTGAACGCTGGGGAAAGAGGTCTTCTGTTACCACTGAGCTTACTAATTAGAACTGTCATCCCCGCTCACCCCACTGGGAGTGCTGGCTTGTGAATGAAATCAACTAAAAAAAAGAAAAGAAAAGAAAAAAAAGCAGACCTGAGAGACAGAAAAAAAAATAAACAAACAGACATAAATACCCAGAGGTGTCTGTGGACCTCACTGAGCCCCTGGATCCCGCTGGGAACGGAAGCAAAGTCATACCATGACTCTCCCGGTTCCCTCACCCAATAAATGTCCTTTCTCATCTAAACCAGTCTGAGACGTGCATGCGGACTGACTGCTAGGCCCTGCTTGTCACCCACGCGCTCTAACTTGCCCTCCCCACGCAGCCCTGTGCGGAGTGTGGCACAGTGCACCAGGGTGGCACCAGGGGCCAGAGCACCCACTCGTGTTTCTTCTCCTGGGCACCCAGGTCCCGCAGGGGTAGCCTCCTCATGTTCCACACCAGCCGGCCTTGGATTTTGATCCTGGGACAAAGCTGGAGCCTTACAGGCTCCTCTGTGCAGATTTTCCACGGGGCGATCGCTGTGCCCCTTCACGTGAGAGTGAAGCGGTGCAGGAACGCACTTCGGAAGACAGGCAGCTGCTCCCCCCGGGGCTGGGCCACCGCTGCCGGCCCAGCTGTTGTGTCTTGGCTTCAGCCTTTAGCTCAGTGCTTTGGTCCCCCCTCCCGTCTAGTGCAGAGCCGGGCTGGCGGTCCTGGAGCCTGGAGGGAGGCTCTCGGTGCCTTCGACCTGACGAACCTCCCCTCCTGTGCTGAGCTCTGGGCACCTGTCACACTCAGCCTCCTGAGCGTGGGACCTGCACCCCAAGTCCTGGTGTCTGGATGCTGCGTTTCCACTCCTGGAGGACCACAGAACTCTTGGGGGCCCCCACAGCCTTCCCCAGAGGTGCACACGCTCTCTTTCTACCTGCACTTGGGTGAGGTTCTCCCTGCTGAGGGCCAGACTCTGGGTGTGGTGGGATCTGAGGCCACAGCCCCTGGTCTCCAGGGCATGGATGGGTGGGGGACGCAAGTAATTACCATGCAATTCTGTAGTAGAAACAAGACAGGGCACTTCAGGGCAAGAAGGGAATTGCCAAGATCAGCCCCAGAAAGCTTTTTGCAGGAAACTGCAGCTAAGCTCGGTCTTAATGCATATAGGCAGCTAGAGGGGGTGCTCTAGGCTGAGGGTCCAGCCCTGATGAGAACACCAGAGAGCCAGCAGGAAGCACGAGCACTGAGCAGGTGCTGCAGGAGGCGGACAACAGAGTCTGGAGCCGAGACCCGAAGGCACAGGGGAGCAGGGGCGCACAGCAGAGGCTGGGGCCAGCCTGCTGGGTGGTCGGAGGGAGCCCGAACACAGCTCCGTAGGCAGCGAGGAGACATCACAGTGACTCAGTCAGGAAAGCAGCCGTCCTGTGTGCCTTTTCAAGAGTTCAGTTAGAGGCGCCATTTGGATGAATTTGCTGGCGATTGAAACCAGAACATTTGCTGGGTTCTGAGCCCTGTTTGCCACGGGGCTTCCTAAGGGAAGACCCCACCCAGGGGATCGGACATCTTGGAGGCTGACCCCAGTGTGGGTCGGGCTCAAGGTCACCATACCTCTGGGCCACTGGGACTGGGTTTCCTCAGACAGTTCCCCAAATGCCCTCATCCCAGAGCTCCAGGCTTCCCACCATTTACTCTCCATCCCTCCGACCTCTCACTGGGGTCTCACGTCACCAGCGCCCGGGCCACCTGGGCCACGGTACCCACTCCGTGCCTGCATCAACCTCACGGCTGCTCAGAGCTCAGCTCACGCACTCATCACAGCACACCATTGTCCTCTTGTCACTTTGCAAATGCCCGAAAGGCTAACCGACGTCCAAGAGATGACCACGGCCTTTCCGTGTTTACACCCATATTCTGTGTTATGTCCTCTGCTCACTGCGAGTGGATGGGTAATTTCAAGGCGTGCTGGTCACCAGATCCTGTGTCAGCGGCTCAGCGCACGACAGTAAACAGGACTTGATTCTGACCCAACCAGCTCAAACCTGTCGCAGCAAATATTTAATCATCTTTTTCCATGAAGAACTGACATGCCAAGAGGTTTCATGATTTTTTTTTCCTAAGACCTCACAGCTTCCCGGTTAGAACTCAGCACCCCAGACCGCCTGGCATATTCCGTCGCCACCACCCCGGTATTCGTCCGGGGGCAGTGTGAGCAGTCACCTCTGGGGACATGCTAATCTGGCTCTGGTCTGCTGCTGGCACATCTGGGAGCCTGAGCTGGAATTCCCCCACAGCCAGAGTCTAGAGGAAACCGGCTCCCCGGTTTTAGAGGGGCTTTCTGACCCAAGCGCACCAGCAGCCTAGTTCAGCCTTTTTAAAAAGGAATTAGAGAAGAGGCGAAAGGCGTTCGCAATCAATCTGCCTGATAGCAGTGTCTAGTCCCAGCAGACCGACTCGCGCGCCTACGCGGCGGAGGCAGGACCACGCAGAGCAGCTAATCCTGCAGCCTCGCCTCACCTGAGCAGGGCGCAGCCAGGGCTCCCTTTGTCGCAGCATCAGGGCTTCCGGCTGGGAGAGTTCCACGTTCCATCGTGGCTGGTCTGGGAATCACCAACGCAGCTCCCAGTCTCCTTTCGCAAGGCAGTCGTCAAAGCATCCTCCAGGCTGCAGAACGAAACCTGCATTTGGAAGCCCTCTCCAGGGCTGCCTGGGGTGCCTGGCACCGCCTGGCACGACCAGCCACGTCCGAGCTCCAGCCAGACTGCTGACCTGGCACTGGCGCTGTGTGATATAACTCGCTCGCGCAGGGAGGCATTAACTGTCTCGTCCCCAAGCTCACAGCCCTCACGTCTCTGAAGGATGCACACGTCTGCGATACCACCGTTCTGACGCCCCGAGCTTCCCTCTGCTGGGGCTCCAGACATTCAGGGGTTCACAACCCACCCCCTGAGGAAGATGCCAGCCAAAAATTCTTCATTTTCAGCAAAGAAATGATTAATCCCAAGGCTTCTGTTAAAGTCCTTCTCTTTTATGAGTTAAGCCAATTAGAATATGTGTTCAGCCTTTAGATACTGGTAAAGAAGCAAGTGTTTTCCTGGGAATGCCTATCAGTCGAAGCCATTTTATTCTTTAAAGAAATCCAGCAACCACTCCTTCCTTCCTTCCTGTAAAATGCCCTGTTCGCATTCGCTTTATATACATTTAAACTCCATGCAGAAAGGATAAGGTTGACTGGAAGACACGGATATTTTAACAATGTAACCAGGTGGAAAATTAATAATGCACATTAGAATGGGGATTATGTTGTTGGCGGAACGTGGGAGACACAGAAGAAGGCATAGGATGGGGACCACTGTGCAGATTTGTGCAGGTGACTTGGCCCTCAGGTTCCACTCTGCTCCCAGGCTTCCAAGAATTTAGGCTAGTTGGTACAGAAGGACCCTCACGGTCACCCTTTTAATAGCTTTCTTTTCTTGAGCCAAAAAAAGAAAAGGTACCTCCTCACAGCTTTCAGAGGCAGCGTGGCCATCAGCTGGGTAGGCACTGGCACCACCGAAGACTCAGGTTTCCACCCATCACCTTGCCCCCTCCTGAGCTCTGTAGCTCAAACAGGTCCTGGAGGAGACGGAAGCCTTGGCACCCTCATCTCCAAGACGGAAAAGCCATCATCCGCCACCTGGGCTGACACAGTGGCCGCCGGGATCAAAGGAGCTGAGATGTCACAGCCGCCTAGCGCCGTGCTGGGTCTGGGGGTGGCGCTCAGTGAGCTGTCTTTGTTACTCTGGTCTACGGCCCCGGCTCGCCCACGGCTGTCTTACGAACCCTCCCTCTTGCTGTGGTGTGTACACTTGAAGTCACAGTCTTGTTGAGACAAGACCCCACGGATGCTTCAAGGTAAAGCCACCTCCCTGTGCTTGGGGGCAGGGTCTTATTTTAGCACAACAGGCAAACAAACAAATAAACAACTCCTTGAGCATTTACCATGTGCTGAGGATTCTGTAAGGTTCCTTTTCTATGTTATCCACTGCGTCTCAGGGCACTAGGGAAACTGTTTCCTTTCAATAATCATTTAAAATAGTCCCAATCATAATACATGACGTAGAAAAATCATGTAATCTGCCCAAAGTGATAGATCTAATTAGTTTTAAATCAGGATAGGAACCCAGGAGGTCTGACTCAGATGCTCCCTAAACTCACTCACCACGTGAGTTACCAGAGGAGGAGGAGCTCAGCCAGGAAGCAGGAACGGAGATGAGGCTGTGCACAGGGCGGAGGGAGAGACTGGCCGTCTTCTCTTTCGTCTTTCTTTTTCCATGGATAACAGTGAGCCCTAACTTTTTACTGCTGCATGACCTTATAGAAAACTACACACATATACACGTGTGTAAGCAGAAACCACACTGAACAATAATCACTGTACCTAGTAACAGCAGAGCAGCAAGAGCCACGGCCCTGAATCCAGCAGGACAGTCTTCAGCCTCCAGCCCTTTGGGGGGCACTTCCTTGGCCTTTGTTGGTGAAGCCAACACTCCACCAGCTGCAGAGGAGGAATGTGAACAGGGCCCAGCTGCCAGAGCATGGGGCAGGGCGAAGAAGGGTGGATTTAGAGCGGAGAGGCAACCCCGTGATCACCAGCACGTGACCCGGAGGAAGACGTCAGGGGAGGAGAAAGGCAGAGACAGGAAGTCATGACCGACTGCCAACCTCAGAAGCTCTGTGTTTTAGCAAAAAGAAAGGAAAGAAGGGAGGGAGGGAGGAAGGGAGGAAGAAGACACCGTCCTTTCACTATCTTGTCGATCATTAAATCAAAACTTTGCACTATCAAGTCCATTATGCCGGTCACAGCACTGAAGACCTCTTATAGATACTGGAAGATGACTTAATGGCCAACTTGAGTGTTTATTTTCCAATTAAAGGGACCTCAACTTCCTTCCAGTTAGTTCCTACTCGTTCTGGGTGTTATGATGTGTGTGCATCCAGGCTCGGTGCTTCCGTGTGACTCTACACAAGCTGTTCCGCTGTCAGTGTAACTGTTTCGATGAGTCCAGGTCGGCTGACAGCACCCACCCCATCCCACGTGCTCCGTTGTTGTGGGGAAGCCGCCCTGAGATTAGCACTCATTTCCACGTCTAGTTTTCCGTGGTGCCTTTAGGGACAAAGGCTGTCTTCTTCATCTGTAGGTCCCTGAATTCTAGTTTCAGGTTTCCTAAACTCTGCAATATTGAAATATGTGACTGAAATCTCTCTTTTTGGTGGAAGGGGGGTTATCCCGTGCCCCATAGGATGTCCAGCAGCAGCCCTGGCCCCAAACACACTGTGGCTGCGGCACTGAGCGGCTGAGGCCACTGGAGACGTCTCCAGACACGGCAAGACGGCGCCTCAGGGCAAAGTCCACCCCGCCAGGGAGACACGGCTCCAGTCTGATTACTGGGTCACAGCTAATATTTTAATAAGTGGTTGTTGAACAAATATTAAATTACAATAGAATCCATTAAATGTAACATAAGGTGCAGCCATTTGACAATTCATAGCTACCAATTTATTTCCCTATGAAAGTGCTCACTTCAAATTCAATCATTCATTTAAGTAGTAAATCAAATCAATACACTGAAATCTGTTAAACTGTATGTTAACTATCTGTTGAATAATTTCCTAGCCTTGCGTGTGGAGTTGCAAGAGAAAGGTCTGTTCTCAATGAGGCTAGCTGACAAAAAGTCTCTCAAACACCTCCCCCCCGACACACACACAAATATGACATACACGCCCAGGTACCAAACACAACCATCACTCCGTGCCCTGATTAATTCCTTTCTCAGGTAACGGCCGCCGCTGCTCTGCCGTGCCTTGTGCACGGATTATGAAGCAATATAAAACCCAGCTCCTGCCCTCAGGCCACAGTAGGATGAGAAAATACAGCAAGCGGGTAAATGCCATAAAACACTATGTATTTGTGCAATAAATATCTAGGCCAAGTGCTACATGCTGATAACGTGATATTGAGCAAAACCATGTCATCTCATGCAGCTAATCGTCTAGAAAGGATGAGACACAAAATGAGAAGTAAGTAAGAATATTAACAGTGGCAGTAAGGAAGACCATGGGAACCCGAGGTGGGTGTTCCTTTCCTAGGTTGGGGTGGGGGGTGATGATTTCAAAAGACGCCCATAAATCGTTTGGCACCCCACTTCTAAAACGTGGAGCTTAATTCACCCCCTCTTGAATATGGGTAGCCATTAGTGATTCACCTCTAATAGAACGTGACAGGAGGGACACCATGTGACTTGTGAGACTAGGCCATCCAATGCAGGACAGTCTGCTTGTCCCTCTCTACCTGGGGACCCTGCCTGGGAGCCCAGTCACCATGCTGTAAGGAAGTTCAGGTGACAGGGCCAGGCATTGTGCAGGGATCCAGATGGAAAGACCCACTTGGCACTGTGGTCAGTGACCACATTAGCCACCTGACCCATGAGTGGATGAGCTTTTCAGTGACGCCAGCCCTCAGGGTGCCCCGTCTGAGGCCCAGTGGAACAAAGAAGCTTCACCCCCAGGTCCTGTCCAAATTGCAGATTTGTGAGTAAAATGAATATTATTGTTTGAAGCCACTTAGCTTCAGGGTGGTTTGTTACACAGCCGGGGTGCCCTTAGCAATGTCACGTGGATTTGATAAAAATCTGCACATTTATCGTGGTTGTGCAGTCTACCTTGAGCAGAGGCAAGATTCCGTGAAGCAGTAAGATGAGTTCTTCCCTAAAAGACGAATACACGTTCCAGTAAGTGTCCGCCAGGCAGAGGGATTTCATGCACAGAGAGCAGTGTGAGCAGCGGAAGGAAGAGGCAAACTGGCCTGTACACTCCGTGTGCGGGGCCCGGCTGACCACTGAGGGCAGGCCTGGAATGGAAGAACGAGAAGAAAACTAGATGTGGATACGGAAAGCCTTTAAAACATCATTATTACAGAAAAGAATGCACATCACTTAAAAGTCACCATTTTAACAATTTCACAGTGCCCGATTCAGTGGCACTGGACACATTGGCAATGTTGTGTAACCATCACCACTGTCTAGCTCCAGAACATTTCTACCACCCCAAAGCCCGCACACCAGTGAGCAGCCACCCCATTCCCTTCTCCTCCCCCCGCTCATAGTCCCTGGCAACCACGAATCTGTTCTCTGTCTGTATGAATTTCTTCTATTCTGAACATTCCATTTAAATGGAATCACAGAACATGTGGCCTTTTAAGTCTGGCTTCTTCCCCTTGGTTCTCTTCCACGGCAGCACATGGCAGCGCTTCGTGTGTTTTTATGGCTGAATAGTATTCCATTGTAGGTTTCTGTCACATTTTATCTAGTTATCAATCGATGGTCATTTGTATTGTTACCACATTTTGGCTGTTGTGAGCATTCCGGTACAGTCTTTGTTTGAACAGCTGTTCTCAATTCTTTTGAGTGTATCCGTAGGAGTGGAATAGCTGGGTCCTATGAATTCGATGTTTCACTTATTGAAGAAATGCCGGGCTCTTTCCCACAGCTGGCGTGTCTGCATTCCCACCAGCAATGCACGAGGGTTCCACTATCTCTACATCCTCATCAACACTTATTTCCTTATTATTATTATTATTATTATTATTATTATTATTATTATTATTCTCATTATTATTATTAGAGCCATCCTAGGGGATGTAAAGTGGTACCCCATTCTGGTTTTGACATGCATTCCCCCACTGAGGACTGATGCTGAGTATTTTGGGACTTGCTCGCTGGCCATTCGTATATCTTCCTTGGAGAAACTTCTATCTAATGGAAAACCTTCTGTGTCATGCCCTGTGGTTAGGACTTTATCCTAAAAAGAGTGGGAAGCTGTTCACCATGGGAGCATGGCGGTCAGATGTAAACTTCAGAGAAATCAAAGTGACTCTGAGAAGGAAGGCTACTTGTGGGGAGTGAGAATGGAAAACAGGGGGGCCAGTCAGAACGCCCATTTGCAACAATCCAAGCAGATTCCAGAAGGCGCAAGGAGCTAAGTAGTTAAGCTAATTACAGCGTTATTGTAATTCCTAGTTTCTTCTTGGTTCGAGTATTTCCTAAGTTGATGATTTATTCCATGGGGTAGTTTCCAGGAAATGATGGGGAGGGATGTGGGGAGTCTAAACAAGAAGGGAACCCCCCCTTCCAGGCTCCAACCTGCAAACAATCAGGGCTGAGCCTCAGTTTTTACGTTTCCAGTCAAATAATATGTGAATTACATGGTTTAGAATGAATAAAAAATATCACAGCTAAAATCAAACATCACATAGTATAATTGCAGAAACATAATAATTCTCTGCACAAATTTTAGGCACCAGTGACGGGGGTGACGTCTCACATTGCGTGTTTACACAACTCATTGCTGACTCTGCGTAAATAAACCAGGAGAAATTAATGTGCTGTTCTTCAGGAAAAACAGAACTTTATCCTCACCATGGGACGAAGGTTACAAGTGACAGCTCATTCCCTGTATATTACTCTTTCAAGCATCCTACTTTTTGAGACTCCTATGCTAATTTCAATCAGTTCTATGTTCATCATTTTACAAAATACTACGATTTACTTATTCTAATTATTAATAATAAATGTTTATAGAGGAGTTTGTAAATCTTAAAATCATCAAAAAGCCTACCAGTCAGAGAGAGAGCCACTGCTAACATTCTCATGTATTTGCTTCAAAATAAGTGGAGAGCCA